CGGACTGGGGCCTTTGGAGCAGCTGCCCCTGGGGACCCCCCTCGCTCCTTTTCTGCCTGGCTCCAAAGCAGCTGTGGTGCGGTGTGGCTTCTGATTCTTGAGTGTGGGGTGAAGGACGGTGGACGAAACGATGACATCAGCCTCTCTGAACCAGAATGTTTTCTGTGGAGTCTCTCGTGTGCCCACCAGAGGGTTCACCCCCAAGTGTCCTCTTCCCCTCTCCTGCCTTGTCCTCAGCTCACTGACCTGGGAGGGAGAGCCAGTGGGAGTGGGCTGACTCCTGGGCATTCCCCAGGACCAGAGACACAGAGTTCCAGAAGGCTCCCTGTGACCCTGTGGGATGGGGGAGGAGCAGGGTCCCATTGCCTCAGTGACAGGAGGCCTGAGGACAGAACACTGAGGCTGTTGCGGGTTAGGAGGGTGCGCCTTTTTTCTCCTTGTTCGGTCAGAATGGGGCATGGTGCTGAGGCGTAGTGGGGAGGGGAAGGATGTGGCTTCAGTCTACTGTGCTGGGAATCCAGGGGCCTGCTGCAGCCTGCTTGCCTCTGCACCTGCAATATTCAGGGACGCTCCTTCAGAGGACAGGTGTGGGTGGAGGAAGGGTGTGGTTTAGGCTTAAATTTAAAGAAAAAAAAGAAACCTCTCTCTCTCCCCCTCGATCCTTAAAGGTGTATGTCTGGGCTGCTTCTTAGCCCCATCAAAAAGAAAGCTTGGCTGGGTATGGTGGCTCATACCTGTTAATCCCAGCACTTTAGGAGGCTGAGGCAGGAGGATCGCTTGAGGTCAAGGCTGCAATGAGCTGTGATTGCACCACTGCACTCCAGCCTGGGTGACAGAGGGAGACCCTGTTTCAAAAGAAGAGAAAAGTCTTTGGGGACCTGATCAAAGAAGGCTTCACAAGTATAGGACTTGAGAGAGTTTTCAGTTTTCATTTTTTTCTTTTTTTTTTGAGATGGAGTCTTGTGCTGTCACCCAGGCTGGAGTAGAATGGTATGATCTCAGCTCACTGAAACATCTGCCTTCCAGGTTCAAGCGATTTTTCTGCCTTAGCCCCCTAAGTAGCTGGGATTACAGGTGCCTGCCACTATGCCTGGCTAATTTTTGTATTTTTGTTAGAGACGGGATTTCACCATGTTGGCCTGGCCAGTCTCGAACTCCTGACCGAAGGTGATCCGCCCACCTCGGCCTCCCAAAGTGCTGGGATTACAGGCGTGAGCCACCATGCCCGGCTGAGAAAGCGAGTTTTCTAGAAGACTGATTCACTGATTGATGACTGACTGGATTGATTCATGTTGCAGGATGGAAGAGGTCACGGCTGGGGCATACTTAGGATAACTGGATGTGGTATGTGGTAGGACGGGGTAGGTGTGGGTACCTGGTTTGAGGGTTTGGCTGCTGTCTGCCTCATCACCTCCTTCTCTGGCCTCCTACTTCCCTAGCAGACAGGGTCTTCTAGGATGTGTTTGAAGACCTGAGTTCTCATCCTGGCTTGGGGGAATCTTATTGTATGGAGTGATGCTCTTCAGGTAGGAAGGAAAGGCTGGCTCCCACCCAGGGAGGCACTTTAGCTGTCTCTGTGGGAGTCTGAGCTACACACACATAATGGTTCCAATCCGGTCTCTTAGGGCCAGAATGCACTCCAGCTAAGTGTGATGCACTCAGAATGCACTCCAATTGAATGCGATGCCTCTTATCCGTCACCATCAAACGGTGCCTCCTGACAGTCTGTACTGGTGTCCTGCTTTGTACTCAGTGCCTCATTTGTTCTTCAGCCCTCCCTTTCTTGGGCTCTTGGTTCCTTTCCAGCAAGTCCTCCTGCCCAGGATCGTGGGTTTCCTGGTCACTACAGGGCTTCTCTCATCATCCAAGAAATTTATAGTCCAATCCTGGTGACCTTAAGCTTTCTTCCTTTTCCTTTCTGCTTACCCATGACCTACGATCCTTTGACTGGGGATCTGTATTTTACCATGTTGTTCCAGCCAGAGAGTGAACTGCCAAAGGTCACATAGTAGCAGGTCCAAAAACTGCCCTAAGGAATTTTGACTAAGTCCTTCCGAGTGTCGTGTCATAAGCCCCAATCCTTCAGGTCTTCATATGTCCCCTGCAGCTTATGCTGAAGCAAAGCCATGGCAGCCAGGGCTGTGACCAGTCCTTTGCTTGTGGCCCTGGCTGGTGTGTAGTCCGTTAGGGAGGCAGTGGGCAGGAGAGCATAAACTCTGGAGCTTCAGTGCCTGAGTTCAAGTCCAGGCCCTACCACTTACTACTTCTGTGGCCTCAGTGCCTGCATGTATAAAATGAGGGTAGTCATAGAACCCTCTGGAGTTGTTGCAAGGGGTTAGTCACTTTAATATGTACATAGCGCTTAGAGCATTTTAGCAGTTGGCTGTTATGCTTTGTTTTAGCCTTAGGAGGATTTGGGATACAGGTACTATTTTCAGAGTATGAGCTTAGTTTGCAGACAGGTAGCCTATGATCAATCAGAGAGAAAACTTCTCCAAGTAGAAAAGCCCTATTAGTTTCTGGGTTTGAAGTGTGCTTATGTTGCTATCCTCTTGTAGTGGAGTCCCCAAAGAGGGACCCTCAGAAGGTCCCTTTTGGAGACAGATCTCCCGAACTGTGTGTGTGTTGGGGTAGGGGTGGGACTGTGAGTAATCTTTTGCTTAAGGCTGTGAACTGGCTGGCTGTGAAATCCATTGGGAGTGGGGCTGTTTCCATTTAGCTTCCCCAGAGTAGCTGACTGATCCCAGATGTGACCTGGGAAAGGTCTTAGGCCGTAAATCCCTGCCCCTTTGTTCCCTGCTGGGATGGTGGTGGGTGGGTTGGTGGGGTGCCTGACTGCACTGTGCTTCGAAGGACATCAGCATGCCACAGGGCTGGGGGTTAAGGGCTGGGGCGGAGCTTGGGTTTTTGTCTGTCAGTGCTGGAATGACATGGTGTTGCCCTGCCTGCTGGTTCTGTAAAAGGCATAGCTGAGGAATTGTAAAGGCCCTTTTGAGGAGGGAGGAAAAAGCAGCAGCCCTACAATTCCCAAGGGGCTCTCCTCTGAGCCGCTCAAAGAGCTTTACCAAAATGATGCTGCTAATTAGCTCTCCTGGCATTGCACTGCACCATGGAGGGGAGCACTGGGCTGCCACTGAGTCCCCATCTGCAAGTAGAGAGGCTCAGACAGAGCACCTTGGAGGTGACCCCCTCCAGTGAGACCCAGTGACAAAGTGCTGTGCTCCAGAGCGCCCCGGCCTGGTTAGCGGCGGGTGGTAAGTAGGTCTTGAGGCACTTGATCTGTACCTCAGTAAAAGCATCAATTTGTTCACCATTGTTGTTCATTTGTTAAATTGGCCCTTAAGACCCCTGCTCTTTAGTAACTAATGGTGTATGGCAGAGGATCTCAAACTAGTCACACTTTGTCAGGCGAGTGCTACAATAGGAGAAACCTGGAAGGTAGTAAGAGAACACAGAAAGAGTTCCCTAGATTTGGGGGATATTGGAAGGTTCCTGGAGGGGGCGGTTTCTAATCGGAGACCTAAAGATTGGATGTAAATTACATAGGTTGGGGAATGGTACCGTATGGAGTGGATGGAGAAGAGAGAACGCTGAAGCAGAGAAAACATTTGCAAAGGCCTGAGACCCAGGGGTGTTGGTTTACGGGTTGAGGCAGAGGCACAGAAAACCACGGGCCAGTGCCAAGGGTTCCCAGAGTAACGGCAGCTTCTAGATTCTTCTCCTTGTAGCTCAAGCCTCTGCCCTTTGGTCATGTCTGTGGTCTAGTCACTTCTGAGCCCTAGAGCCAGGGGTAGAAGACCTGGGTCAGTAGGGGTGAGAGGGATGCCCAGGAACTTACTGTTTTCCTGTGAAATAGCAATGAAATGTGTACTCTGGAAAGTGGCATTGGTGAGCTCTATGGCGTGGGCATGGGTGTTGCATGGGTGTCCCTGTCCTTCCCGAAGGCTACAGCCTGAAGTAGTCTGCCCACTCCACCCTTCCTTCCCCCGGCTGCTCCAGGTGGGCCTGCCTGTGAGCCACACCATCTGCTTAGGGAATAAAGTCCACCTGAGGCTGTGTTTGCCTCACCTGGGTGCAGTTTACTGCTTTCTCTGCTGCCCCCACCCAGCTGTGCCAAGGGGAGCTTACAGAGACTCACTGATGGCTCAGCCCTGGGGAATTTCCTGGGGCCTGGATGAGTCAGAGGCAGCCTGTACCAGGTGCTGGGGTGGGGCTGCGGAGTGGGGGGATAATGCTGGCTCAGCCAGTCAGTATCCAGAAAGTTTCAGGTTCGTGGTGAAGCCACCGGTGCCCCTGAGGTTTTGCAGTCCTAGGAGAATATTATCCCTGGTATGTGTCTTAACACTGTAAGAAGCAGATCTTTGCCCATCCCTGTACAGTGACCTCAGCACACGCTACATACAGGTGGGCACTTGGGAAGTTCCTCTTGACAATTGCCATTATCATCACTATATTCATGGCGTGTGGAGCACGTACCCTGTGCCAGGCATCATGCTCAGAGCTTTACGAACAGCAGGTGGCGTCATCCAGGAGGACAAGCCATGGGGTAGGCTGTATCTATCCTCATTTTACAGGTGAGGAGCTGAGGCTCTGAGGCACTAAGTACTGTGCCTCAGCAGTGGAGCTGGGCTATGAATTCCTCAGAGGGTACCTGGACCACTGTGCTGGCAGGTGGACTTGGGCACCCTCATCAATGCTCATAGAGTCGGAGAGCAGGGCCCTTCTTGGGATTCAGTTTTGTTTTGTTAATTGTGTTAAATGTAAACACACATAACATAAAATTGACCATCTTCACCATTTTAAGTGTACAGTTCATTGATATCATTGTGCAACCGTCATCACCATCTATCCACAGAACCTTTTCATCTTCTAAAACTGAACTCTGGACCCACTAAACAATACCTTCCCACCCTGCTTGCCGTCACCCCTGGCAGCTGTCCCTCTGTTCTGTTTCTGTGGGCATTCAAAGGTTGACCCTTCATCTGTCTGTCTTGCTGCAGAATCTCCCTGGGGTGCCCTCCCCAGGCAGCAATGCCAGGATGCCCGTGTCCACCTCCCTCCACCAGGATGGCAGCCAGGAGCGGCCGGTGAGCCTGACCTCTACCACCTCCTCGTCGGGCTCCTCCCGTGACAGTCGCAGTGCCATGGAGGAGCCCAGCGGCTCTGAGGCTCCTGCTGAGAATGGGGCAGGCTCCCCAAGAGACCGGCATCTCCCCAATAGCAACAACAACTCCAGCAGCTGGTTGAACGTGAAGGGGCCCCTCTCCCCATTCAACAGCCGGGCGGCGGCAGGGTCTGCGCACCACAAGCTCAGCTACCTGGGCCGAGTGGTGCGGGAGATCGTGGAGACGGAGCGCATGTATGTGCAGGACCTGCGCAGCATCGTGGAGGTGCGTGCCGGGGACCCTGTGGCACAGCATTCTAGCGGAAGCCTGTTTCACCCTGGGAGAGAAGCTCTCGAAAGACCCGCTTCCCATAAAGTAGTTGGAGGACTCGGGTCTCCCACCCTCGCTGACTGCATGGTGAAAACTGTTGACCCCTCAGGCTTCCTTAGGACCTTGGGCCGGATCAGTAGCTTGGGCTGGCAGGAGTGAGCATCATTGACAGGGAGGATGGGTCCCCAGCCTGCCTGGGAAGATGGCTCTAGAAAGCCTGTGCCACAGAGACCAAATGCAGTGAAGACATGGGCTCTGGGCCTGGCCCCATGCATCCCCTGCCCTATTGTTGCCTGGCTGTGTGGAGCCTCAGGTTCCTCCTCTGTAAGAGGAAGCCACACCTACCTTGCAGGGCTACTGTAGGTGAAGGACATGGAAGGGCAGCTGTGTGGCTGCCACTGAGGAGGCCCTCTGCTCCACTGGCTCGGGGTGTGGATTAGTTTCCTAGGGCTGCCTTAACAAATGACCGCACACTGAGTGGCTTAAAACAGCAAATGTATTCTCACTCAGTTCAGGAGGCCAGAAGTCCAAAATCAAGGCACTGGCCAAGTTGGCTCCCTCCAGAGCCTCTGAATGAGTAGTTCTGTGCCTGTCATCCAGCTTCCTGGGTCCTGGCAGTCTTTGAGATCATTGGCCTGGGGATGCGGCCCAGTACCTTCCCATCACCACCTTCTTTGTGTCTCTCTGTGTCCTCCCTCTCCTCTTATAAGGACAGCAGCCACTGGATTTCGGGCCTACCCTAAATCCTATCTGAAGTCATCTTGAAATCCTTAACTAATGGCATCCACAGAGACCTTATTTCCGAATAAAGTCACATTCGGGGTTCCAAGTGGACGTGAATTTTGGGGTGGACACTGTCTCACAGTAGGCAGTGTCTGTGAAGTGGTGTCCCAGCAGGGCCTAAACGAAGTGTGGCTAGGGAAGGTCGTGGGCAGGGTTGTGCTGGGGGCCAGGTTCTGAGCACCTCCCTCCACGCAGGACTACCTCTTGAAGATCATCGACACGCCCGGGCTGCTGAAGCCAGAACAGGTCAGCGCCCTCTTTGGGAACATAGAAAACATCTACGCACTGAACAGGTGTGTGAATGGGCCTGACACCATGTTCTGCCTGCGAGGCCCACCTCGGGGCCTAGGGAGGAAGCCTGGATGTCCCTGGACTCATGGGCCTGTGACATGTGGGCCTGGGGCCTGATCTCTGAGGACAGGGAAGGGTGGTCCATCTCTGTGCCCTGGGCTGATGTGCTTTCTCTCAAGGGCAGACAGGGAGGTAATTTGAGGGTATGTGCGTGTTGGGTCCAGCCTGGGCCGGCACCCCTCACGGGGCTGCTGGGCCCTTCCTTGCACACTGATTCTTTTCCCTGTGGGTGGCTTCTCTGTCCTTCTCATCTTCATTTTCCACTTGCACATCTCTTAATTTCTTATCCTCCTTCCCACTGACTCCAAGGGCTCCCTGGAGATGATCTGACCTATTAGTGGATTGCACAACCCAGGCAAGACAGATGTGAGAGGCCAAACAAGGCCTGGCCAGGGGCTGTGTCAGGGCAAAGGGCGTGGGTCTGCTGCCTGGGACCACAGACTCCCCAGGGAAAGTGCGCTGCTCTGGAGGGTCAGAGCTTGAGGGAACAGCGGTGCTAGGACAGGAAGAATCGTATCCCAGGCCACTTAAGATGGGCAGTAAGCTGGAGAAGTCTGGACGGGCAGGGTACAGGGAAGACTTAGACCAATGGTGAGGGTTTGGGAAAAGAGGAGGAGCACAGAGAGAGGAGGCAGGGAGCAGTGTTTCTAGGGGTGCCAGGACTCACCTGTCTCTCCCCATGTCCCACATCCTGGGCGCCCTGGCTCCTTTGCTAGTTCCCGTTCTCTCTCCTTCGCCCTTTAATCCTCTGCTTTTGTGTGTTTGACTCCTTCTGCCTGCAGAGGAGCTGTGTCCCCTCCTGAGGTGGGTACGAGGGTCCCCTCTTCCTCTCCCGCTTGCTGAGCCTGTAGGTCTCCCTGACTTCCTGCTTTGTGGCTGCTTTGTGCTGGATACTTTCTGTGGTTGCTGCCTGGGGCAGGGCTCCCTCTGAGGCTAGAAGCCCCAGCTCTTTAGCATAACAATAGGGCTGGCTGTCAGTCAGGGTTCGGGAGGTTGGGGAGGGGGCAGTGAGGGGCATTGTCCTCTGACTGCAGAGGGTACAGTGGCTGCTTTCCCCTCACCCAGCCAGCTCCTCAGAGACCTGGACAGCTGCAATTGTGACCCCGTGGCTGTGGCCAGCTGCTTTGTGGAAAGGGTAAGAAGGGCTGGGCCCTTGCCCCGTCCTACCTTGCTGAGAGCTCAGAGAGACAAGAACTCTGCCAGTGTAAGAGGAAATCTGAGTCCTGGGGATCCCTTTCCAGGGAAAGTGCTTGGTGCTGTGTCTTGAATGAGAAGGGTGTTCTGGGGGGAGCCAGGGCTGCTGGGTGGATGGGATGTCCTTGATAAATAGGTATAAAGATGGCTCTGTAGGCACTTAAGAACAGGGGACAGAGTATGCTCTGGGGGCCAGGGGCCTATCTAGTACCACCATCTTTACAGTCAAATGGGAATCTCCCTGAAATCACTATTTTTGATCTCTTCTTAGAGCCAAGAGTTTGATATCTACACCCAGTATTGCAACAATTACCCCAAGTGAGTAATTGGGGTGAGAGGGAAGGCAGAGCCATCTGGTGAGTCCAGAGCCCCCCACCTCCTCATCCAGGCCTTCTCCAGGTGGTGACTGGCCCTTCTCCCACTCTCAGCTCCGTGGCCGCCCTGACGGAATGCATGAGGGACAAGCAGCAGGCCAAGTTCTTTCGGGACCGGCAGGAGCTGCTGCAGCACTCACTGCCCTTGGGCTCCTACCTGCTGAAGCCGGTCCAGCGCATCCTCAAGTACCACCTGCTGCTGCAGGTAGCCCCTTGGTCCTCCCAGGCACCTGGGGCCTGGGGAGGGCAGGGCCTTCGAGTCAGGGGTACCTAAGCCTCTATCTTCTGCTCAGGAAATTGCCAAGCATTTTGATGAAGAAGAGGATGGCTTTGAGGTGGTGGAGGATGCCATTGACACCATGACCTGTGTGGCCTGGTACATCAACGACATGAAAAGGAGGCATGAGCATGCAGTCCGGCTCCAGGTGCTCGGGGGCTGGGAGGCTGGGGGAGGGGCAGGGCTGGGTGGGCCATGCTTCGGCTGGGAAGAAGGACTGTGGCCACCCTGCTGGGATGAGCTGGGTGGTGGCATTGGGGGAGCCTTTGTGGCAGGTTTTGCAGAGCCTCCGAAGGCCCCAGTGGCCTGACTGTAGGGGTTGGGGCCCCTCTGCTGCAGGAGATTCAGTCACTCCTCATCAACTGGAAGGGGCCCGACCTGACCACCTACGGGGAGCTTGTCCTGGAGGGCACGTTCCGCGTGCATCGCGTGCGCAATGAAAGGACCTTTTTCCTCTTTGACAAAACACTGCTTATCACCAAGAAGCGGGGCGATCACTTTGTCTACAAGGGCAACATCCCGGTAACCAGGCCCTGCCCTATCTCCGCCGTCTTCTCTCCTTCCCAAAGGATCTGGGCTCCCCTCCTTGTCTGCTTCTTGGGGCTCAGCACCACCCTTCTGAGATCACCCTCCCTGCTTCCCCAGGCTGTCAACCTTGTGCTTTACTGTCCTTTTCCTCTGCCCCTAGTGCTCCTCCCTGATGCTGATCGAAAGCACCAGAGACTCCCTGTGCTTCACTGTCACCCACTACAAGCACAGCAAGCAGCAGTACAGCATCCAGGTGAGGGGCCAGTGGGGCTCAGGGGCTAGGGAACAAGATGCCCAGGGGACATCTGTGTGGAACTCCTGGCTCCTCCGCCCACCTAGCTGCCCCAGGATCCCGGTAAGGCAGGGATCATTGCAGGCACTTCTTAGGGTCAAAGTGAAGAGTCAGGTTAACCTCAGAGTTCCCAGCATGGTCCCACTTTTTCTCCCTGGGCGGAAGCACTGTCCATGCTGGACAGCTTCAGGCCTGTAATGATAACCCCTGGGTCCCTTTCCCTTGGGTCCTCCCAGGCCAAGACGGTGGAGGAGAAACGGAACTGGACTCACCACATCAAGAGGCTCATCCTAGAGAACCACCATGCCACCATTCCCCAGAAGGTGAGTTCCCCCAGCTCTTGACAGTGGACAGGGAGAATGTGCTCCTCTGAGCCAGCTCTACAAGGTCCACTGGGGACTCACCTTCTGGATTTGGGCTCCACTGGACAGTGGATGTCAGTACAGCAGATGCCTCGGGCCTTGGTGCCGCACTGTGGGGTGTCCTCGTACAGCAACAGGGGAGGCTGGCACATAGTAAGGTAATAACCAGGTGCGTTTCCTTCTGTCAGGCCAAGGAAGCCATCTTGGAAATGGATTCCTATTGTAAGTGTGCTCTTTTCCGCCTGTTTTGTCCCTACTCATGGACATTGCTCGGTCAGGCTGCATCCTGGGGAAGCTTTACCTGATAATTTTATTCCAGGAGCAGGGAGGACGGGGGCCTCCTGTTAAGGGCTGGGGGGCGAACTATATGATTAAGGATGCTCTCCTGCTGAGCAGTGGGACTCTCAGTGCCTGAAGCTCCCAGCTAGAAGATGGAGGGAGCTCTGGAGGCTCCTGGCCCTGGAGCTGGGTGGGTGTAGAGGTCTGGCTGGGTATGGACAGGGTCTAGGGTAGGCCAAGGCCAACTGGAAACCAAAAGCTTGACTGTCTCTCTCCTGGATGCAGATCCCAATCGGTACCGCTATAGCCCAGAGCGGCTGAAGAAGGCTTGGTCCTCCCAGGATGAGGTGTCCACCCATGTGCGCCAGGGGCGCCGGCAGTCTGGTAAGAGAAGGACTGTGGAGGCAGGAGGCCTCTGCCTCACACCCTTTCCCAGGCTGGGGACCGTCTGCGGCAGTGTCCAGGGCTGTGTCTCTCACCTCTGCGGAAACCCTGGGAAAGGCTTGAGTGGGGCTGGACATACACCTGGGGCTCATCCTTTCCCTGTGCTGGTGCTACCCACACCACATGCCTCTGGGCCCTCGTTGCCTACCAGTTCTGGGCAGCCCAGCTGTTTCTTACTTTTTTCTTTCTTTCTTTTTTTTTTTTGGATGGACTCTTGCTCTGTCGCCCAGGCTGGAGTGCAGTGGCTCGATCTCAGCTCACTGCAACCTCTGCCTCCTGGGTTCAAGCAATTCTCCTGTCTCAGCTTCCCAAGTAGCTGGGACTACAAGGGTGTACCACCACACCCAGCTAATTTTTATATTTTTTAGTAGAGATGGGGTTTCAGTATATGTTCGCCAGGCTAGTTTCGAACTCCTGGCCTCAGGTGATCCACCCGTCTCGGCCTCCCAAAGTACTGGGATTATAGGTGTGAGCCACTGCGCCTATCCAGCCTACCTTTTTTAAGGCCCTAGGAATACTTGCTCACTTGGGTCTTGGCACCCCTTCTTAGCCCCCTGCCTCCTTTGCCTCTTGGGAATACCAACACCAAGTCATTCAGGAGTAACACTCGGACATCGCAGATGGCCCCAGCCCAGTCCTGGAACAACCCGAGCAGAAGCAGGACCCGGG